ATTTTTTGATAACCATAAGAGCCTTATGAGGTAAGATTCCATAAGACTTATGCCTTTTTTGTCACTCAAGAAACGATGAGGACACCTAAGTTACTTTAGCAGTATAATGATCCTTGATACTTATTTGGGTATCGATACTTGACCCTAGGGTATTTATACTACTCACTTAAAATGGTCAGATTTGACCTGATTAAGGTCGATAAGGACTAAGGACGACCCTTAATAGTAAGACTTAGTCTGTAAAGGACATGAATGACCAAACGTATCTAAAAAACTCATAGGAGTAGGTTACATCAGGTGTAAACATATTAAGTGTAATACACCAAATTATCTTCAATCGAGGACATATACAAATAGTTGGGATCGAGGATCGTTACAAGAGATATATGATATATCGTACAAAGAATATGACATATTTATTATTGAAGAAGAACATGGTACTTCGAGAATGTCAGTGAATCGAGAATGTATAAGTCGTCCCACTACTTCAAGGGGGTTTTGGGAGAAGTACACTAAAAGTGTTAGGAGTGTTGTTACCCAGTAATGAACCCAAGTCAGGTATTGGGCTAACTAGTGATTCAGTCTGTGAATAACAAACACCATAATCGTCAGGAAATCATAAAACACTTAGAGATCTCTTCAGAGACAGAGATGACTAAAATACCCTTTAAGTTCTAATAAACCTTTTCTTTACGTCCTAGGAAAGAGGACGAGCGGGATAGTTCGAGTGAAGGGGAAATGACCTCACCTGACTTCAATAAGTTTTGTATTGAGTAGCCAAGCTACTTCGGTCGCCTTAGTGTGGTATCAGTTAACATGGATTAAGATGTTCGCTCTAGAGTAAAGACTTATTATAATAATGAGATAATAACATTAATTGTGTGATAACCATAAGAGCCTTATGAGGTAAGATTCCATAAGACTTACACCTTTGTTGTCACATAGGAAACGGTGAGGACACCTGAGTTACTTTAGCAATATAATGATCCAAATTAGTGCGAGAGCACTTTAGTCGCTAGTTGAATGTTATGCTAATGCTATGTGATCCATACATGTTCCGAGTACTCTAAAGGAATAAACTAGCTTGGCATGGTACCAACGTTATGTCACCCAGACCTAGCCTAAGATACCAGTGAGGTGTCAATGCTTTGTGATTCCACCTTACTTAAGGCACTCGTGAGATGCTTATACTATGCAACTCAGATCTTTCCTAAGGTACCATTAGTAAGAAAATAGGGGTGTGAGTCTCGTGACACTATGTGACCCCCGAGCTACACCATGATGCTTACTTGTTGTTCTGTGATGGTATCAGGCGTTTTTGTGATATTGGGTACTATTATTGTGTGTTGCATTATGATGCATTATAGGATGATTCTAATATTAGAGACCTGGTTTAGGTTTACTCATGGCGAGTCTCTTAGTGGAGACTAAGGGAAGCATGATAATTATATTCAAGAGGTAGAACCAGAGAACTTTTAGTGGGTATCATTGATTGGGATCATACATGTAAGTACTTCTTAGTACCACGTCTAGCATGCTTTAGTTTATGAAATTCTTATGCTTCTCTAGAACTGCTGGGCTTTGTAAGCTCAACGTTCGTATGTTTTTTGTTGGCAGATCAGTGGCTTGAGCAATTCATGGAGCATCGTCACCGCAGGACTTCCAGCATCTCTGACAAAGTACTGTACTGTAGCTAGTGGACATGTGTATTCATAGGACCTCACTTATGTATTTGAGTTGTAAACTTAAGATGTATTATTATGTTTTAAATTACGTGTCACTGAGCTCTGGTTTTGTAAAATATTTTTTAATCGTTATATATGTTTTATTCATGATACCATTCAATATGTTTGAAAGGAAAATGAACATGTTTTGAAAATCAAGGGTTACCTCAGTAGCCCAATGTGTCACTTTAGGCCCAATCAGGTTTAGGGTGTTATATTTAGAGGTATTAGAGCTTCAAGTTGAGTCGGTCCTAGGATTCAATGGTCATTTTTAGTAAGGTGTCAGTGAATACATGCCCATAGGTGCTCAAAGTACTCGTATAAGTCTGGAATCCTGATGGTGCCTCTATTTCTAAGTTTGTGTTATAGAAATTTGTAATGGTTGATAGTTCTGAATGTAGTTTTGAGGATACGATAGAGAGCTAGCCTCTCATCCAAACAGTGTCGGTGAGGAGTTCCTGCTTAGGGCAAAAGATCTAAGGGGTTCCGTTAGGCGCATGAGTCGTAGAGGTGCCCTTCTTCAGAGGTTTGACCTTCACTCTCAGAGAGATAGTGAACGACATTCTCAGAGCACAGCATGTTCAACTGGCCACCCAGAGAAGATCAGCAAGATTGCACATCCAAATTCAATCTGAAGGTACATATCAGAGAAGATTAACATTATTTCAAATAAGCACCATCTTGATCACTTGTGGCTTCGTTAACTCCACTAAGAAAACATAAATAAAAGAACAGTCAAACGACCTAACAAAAATGAAAAACGTGCCACAAAGGCAAAGATAAAGGTGTCACAAATACAGAGATAAAAATACCACAAAATCAAAATTATTTTTATTAAAAAACTAAAAAAAGAAGAAGAAAAGGAACTGAAGGTCGGCAACCAACATAAAAAACGATGTCATTGACGGCTAAATAAAATCAAAGAAGAAAAATGATCTTATCTATAAAAAAACGACATAAACTCAATGAAAAAAAAAGGAAAAGAGAGAAGAGAGCAGCTAGAATTATGATTAAATGACTATTTAGCCAAACTTTAACAAATTCTAAGTTTTCTTTAGTTAATAACTAAGCTTAAATGTTCGTTTGTTCTATAAAGTATATCATTTTATCGAGTTATCCATTATTTTTTTACGCTATGGTCTTAACTTTAAAAAGTTACTTATGTTGTCTTATTTTTTAACTCCATTAGAAAAAAATATCAGTTAATTAGAGCACGCAACATGACAAATTTGATTGATCGAGTTTAATGGAAAAGATAAATGTCATGTTAAGTATTTTAAATTTTTATTTATTTAATTTAATCACTAAATTTTATTTAATTAAAATTTGACTCCTATTTATTTTTAATTTTTATAATTTAATATAATATTATTTATAATGTTTTTAGTTAATATATTAATTCCATCCAATAAGAAGGCATCATATATTATCATCTCTATTAAGGTAAAATAAGAAAATACCCGACCATTAAGTTAAACTTTTGTTTTATTAATCTGGGGTAGGTACAATGAGTATCTGTTCAAATATAAATTCTCAATCTTTTGACATTGAATGCTAACACCCCTAGCATCTATGGTTTTCCAACCCGAGTTCTCAAGTAAAAATAACAATTCATTTACGACGAAAACCACTCAATTCATAGATAATATTTAAGTTAAACTGAAATTTAAACTAATCAAGTAACGTGAGTTTTTCTTCTTCATCCCATCTAAAAGGACATTATACATAGAAATTATATATCTCGACTTAAAAGATTCTAATCACTTCGAAAAGCTTCTCCAATGGGAGAAAAAAAAGTCCCCTAATTAACAAGCACTACCAAAGAATACTAAACTCTAACAAACAAAAAAATAAAGTTAATTAAATTGGAATTAAAATAAAAACCCTAATGTTAAGAATGTTTAGTTTTCAAGCGTTGAAATAAAATTCAGAAATGAGAAGTATGGAAATTAATTATTGAGATATGAAAAAGATTCTCTCATTTTATTACATGGTCCAACCGGCAAGCTAAAATGCAAAATTCATTCAAAACAAATATAAACATTGTAATTTTATTGTTCATAATATCTTTTAGATGAAATTTCACATTTATATTTAAAATTAAGAAATATCCTTATTAAGATAGGGAAATTAAGTTTTTCAACACTAAACTTTGATCGTGTTTCTATTTTGGTCACTCAACTTTAAAAATTTCAATTTCACCACTTTGAAGTCCTCATATATTGGCTACTTGGACGTTAAATAAAAAACAACAGGACGATGCGGACTGTTTTATGATGGTGTGGGTTTTTCATTCTCATATTATGTGGCCGTTGAAACTATCATTCTCTGATATTTTTTTTTATCAATCTAGATATTGATGAGCTTTTCTCATCATCTCATATCCACCTTGCCACTGTTAGAATTTGGAAGAAGATAACCATGCCGAGAAAATCAAAGGAAATATAAAAAAAAACCTAGGTTAAAACTTTTAAAACAAAGATTCTAGGGATATTTTCACAAAATGGAAAAGAAATATAGGAGGGTTTTCATATTTTTTTTAAAAAGACGTCATGACATAAAACGGTAAAAATGATTAACGGCAAATTCATCATAATTGAGATCATTCAAAAGTTTAGTGGTGACGAAGTTGAAAAATGTTAAATTTGAGTTACCAAAACAGTAACACAGTCAAAGTTGAAAGATGAAAAGCATAATTTACCCTATTAAGACTTGGGCTTAATTTAAGGACATTCAATTAAATATTTGTTTTATTAATTTGGGTAAGTATATGTTAATATCTATTTAAAAATAACTCTTTATTATTTAATATTGAACGCTCGTCGATCATTATCAAATAATTGAGAGTATTTAGAACATATACTACTTTATAATCAACTTAGCTTAATCAAAAAATAAAATATTAAATGCTCATATCCGTGACATTCGTATCCCGTTCTCATTTGTAAATAAAAAAACATGAAAAACATTTTTGTTTAATTGGGGTTAGGTGGCTTAATTATTAGCTAAAGCATAAAATAGAGTTTGCAAAAGGGACGACGTATTAAATGGGTTTAGATATCAGTTCATATCTCTCATGATCCTATAATGTACCTAATAGAGGATTATATGGACTTTTGACATCTTTGTCCCTATCTAAAGATCTCATGCCCTAACAAACGTATCCATCGCTTTTGCTCTTACTTTCCAGAAAATCTTGTCTTCAACCCCAAATCTCATTCCCAGACAAAAATCAAAATCAATACTCCTCAGTTCCCCCTAAATAATAATTTCCCTTCACACTTGAAGAAGTATGGATGAGGTGTTCTTCCAGTTTTCTTCCAATTCCGACCCTCAAAACACGATCCCACAGGATGAGATTTTGGATTTTGTTCCCATGGGTGGCAGCAGCAGAGGCCGGCAACGAAGAATATTGTCGAGTGAGAAGAGAGAAAACAATCATAATGATGATAAGAAGAAGTCGATGCATAGGGATATTGAGAGGCAAAGAAGGCAAGAAATGTCCACCCTTTGTGCTACTCTCCGAACCCTTCTCCCCCTTAAGTACATCAAGGTAAAAACAGCTTGAAGAAAATTGTTTATTTTACTTGTTTTCTTCTTCTATATAGTTATGATTTAGGGTTTCTTTTCATGGGGTTTTCAGGGAAAGCGTGCGATATCGGATCATATGAACGGAACAGTGAGCTATATAAAGGAACTACAGAAGAGGATCGAAGAACTGAGTTCGAAAAGAGACGAGTTAAAGAAATTATCTTTCGATTTGACTTCAAGTGGTTTTCACCGACGGACAAGCTCCAACGAATACTCTCTCCGGAGCAGTGCCGTTGTTCGACAGTCGTTGGACGGCGTTGAGGCTGTGGTCAGAAGCCGTCATGATGCTCAAGCTTCGACTCTCTCGAGGGTGCTCCAGCTGCTGCTCGAGGAAGGACTTGATGTTATAAATTGTATCTCCACACGGATTGATGGAGGACTGATTCATATCATAAAACTTGAGGTAAGATTTTTCATCGATCACTAGGTTGATTAGGCTGCTTATTTACCAAGTGCAACTCTTTGTTTTTGCTGTTACAGGTTATTGGTGTGAGAGGCGTTGATTTACCTTATCTGCAGCAGAAAGTAAATGAAGAAATTTCATCCTTGAATCGAACTTAAACCATGCTTCTTTAATGGAGATTTCCCCCTCGAAGCTCCTACGTTTTTCATTAGGATTTGAGTAAGATTGATCTTTTTTCTCTGCTAAGTATGGCCCATATAGTGTATATCTGACACATTTCAATCTTCTGCCACTTGTTTTTTGCTTCCAGGAAAAAAGTTATATGGTGTATGGCAAATTTATATTTTTCCTGTCATCACATGTGTCAAGAGGAGTGGAGCTTAATGTGGTGTTCTATCATAAATATTGCCTTCCTTTTGTAAGATAAATGATGTGATAAGCTAGGCACACATGAATTGTCTTCCATGAATTTCAAGTTAATGAAAACCAGATTAACTTCATTGTTAATCCATTTCTCTATTCATGAATACATTCCTATTAAGTTGATTAGAACATAATATGTGGAGGTTAGGATAAGATTTGATTTACTAGGTGGAAATGCTTTGATCTCCCTATAGTTAATGAATTATCCAGGAGCTTTTTCATCTATAAATTGTCAATGACAAGTAGAAATGCTTGCCAAGAAATGTGTTATAGGATGCTTTCGTTTGTTTCTGCGATGCTAATCAAAAGGAATTTCAATATTGTATGGTAACGAAATTTTTAGGAGACTATTTTACTTCTCAAATTATATTATGGACTGATGAAGATGTAGGGTTTAATATATTAAAGTTTGAAAGTATAATAACTTACTGAGCGAGATTCAGTTGTATTGGTTACTCTCATTATAGTTTTGTTACGTTTCGGCCTGTCGAGTATATATAGGTGTGTTATCTTTTGTTGGTGCTAATCTAAGATTTATGAAATTTGTTTTGGTTATAATGTATTAAGTTTCAGGTTAGGAGATGATCTGTAGAACTATACAAGGGCATAGTAAAAAGAATTTTTTTGAAGCTTTTTTTTATTATCTGCTTTAAAGTGAACTTTGTATGAATTTCTTTAAAGAACATTTTACATTAATCTTATGTGAACTTTATAATAAATAAAATATTGTTGTGAAAAAATAGGTATATAATATATATATAGACAACCATGCACGAGATTATGATGTTATGGATAAAGGCTAATTCCAATGGTTGGTATATTGAATTGCCTGTCCAGCTCAGTTGGTAGAGCACAAGGCTATTAACCTTGGGGTCGTGGGATCATGGGATCGTGTCTCACGATGGGCAATTCATAATTCGGAGGTCTCCACGGAAGTTGCTCTCAACCTGGTGTTGGGGGCATCCTACTATACTACCTCCCCTTACCCCATTACATATGAGAATAAATGTCAGCTAATTTTCCAATGGTTGGTATATTGTATGCGTGTGTGGGTGTACTATAATTTAATATGTAAATTGTGTAAGTATACACATCGAATAAATAATAAAGTAATGAATGTGTATCGTCTCCATAGAAATTATAGGAAAATCAAGTAAAGCCTATGCACTTAAGCCATAAACAAATATGTATATGTAATGATATGAATAATTGATGTAAACGTTGTGGTAAAGTAACAAGTGTGCTGAGCGTGAAATGCTACAACAAAAAAGTAAAGTAAAAAAAATGTTATGGCAAAATTGGATTGAGAATTGAGTTATGAGATAAGACAATGAGAAGAACCTCACACAAATAAGCTTTCAAGAAAGATAAAAGGCTGGGTCTATTATGGAATCATATGTTTTGTCTTCTAGAATGGTTAATATTTCGCATTAATACCTTGCTCTACATAGTTTGTTAAAGTGTTTCTAGGCTATCTTTAATAAGAAATCTGATAGTGAAAATGCTACAACAATACCTTTCAACGTGAACATTAACAAATTATTATCGATTAAGTCTTACTCTTTTTAGTCGTTGAAACTCTATTCTTATCTCTAAGGCAAGTTAAGGTTTTATTTCCCATCTCAACCTCATTGTCCACGTCGATCTAAGCTTAACTCTCTCGATATTAAGCATCAAACATAGATAATGGTTATCTTTCGAAAGCTCTTATAAATCCATAAAACAAGGTTTAATACAAAAATAAGTGCTTAAATTTCACCTCGAAAAAAATTGGTGTCTAAAGAATTTTTCGCTAAAAATTAGTGTCTAACGTTTTCTCAATTACACTTCTAGGTGCACACCGTTATATTTTTAATTTTTAATTTTTTAAATATTATTTTTAATGAAAAAAACTCAAAAAACTAAAATGTCTCATTTCAACACTGTTACCATGATGGGGAGCACTGAAAGAGTGATGGCGAGGATGGGTTTTGAGCAGAATTAGATGGTGGTTCGAATGGTGGTGATGGCGTGGCATATGGCTGTCGTGATTGGCCGAAATCGACGAAAAAAAATGACAAAGGCTTAAAATCTGACGAAACTTCGAACTCTTCTCTATGGTAAACAGTGGCAGCTTACGAAAAAAGACCAACGAGGGTTTGATCTAGACTCGACGTCAGTGCTAACGAAAATGACGGTGACGATCACGACCAGCCGGCTAACGACAATGGAAAGGAAAAGGAGGAAGGGAGGGGTTGTGCTGCGCAATGGGTTTTGGTATTGTTTTTAAATGAAAAAATATTTTATTTTTAAAATTTAAATAAATTCTAAAAATTACCAGGGCTCGACATGTGTCACTTAATGGTAAAAGTTAACGGCCTCTACGATCCAGACACGTAAAAGTGCTCCGATGAAAACATTAGACACCTAAATTTAGCGAAAAAATTCTTTAGACACTAAAATATTTTTTGAGATAAAGTTAAGGCACTTATTTTTATATTAAGCCTTAAAACAATGAACAAAGTAAGTATTTAAACATGGAAAATACTAAAACATTCATTCAAACAAAAGCATAATCATCCACAATAAACCCACACCAAATAAAATTAGTTTATGGTAGGGAAAATATCATCCATCATCATCATTTGTTCATTACAAACCCACAAAATAAATAAGAAACGGTTTAGCTCATATATAATGTCATCCATATATAATGTCATCCGTTAAGTCATCAACTATTATGAACTATCATGTCAATACCGTAATGGTCAACGACGAAAATCATTCATCAAAATATCAAATTAAATTTATTTTCTAAATTAAATGATTCGTTAAAAAAATAATACAATAGCTACATTTATTTTCTTTCAAAAACACAATGACCTTTAACGTCTTTTTCTCTAAAATTACTTCGAAGCTATTTTTTTATATCTGCCGACTGCCGCCAAGGAAGAGGGAAGGGATTCCACGAAAAGTAGAGGCAATGCTTATCCTCATATTATTATAAACCCTAAAAAGGTGTAGCATGCATGTAAAAGCTTGCAAAGCAAACCAATTATTAACGAGTTTATCAAAGCCACTCTCACCAAACACGTGTTCATTCATATTGATTGAAAAATATTATATATATATAATTCCACCGGAGAAACAATTCGTCCTTTATTTCAACCCCACCTCTAACATGACATTACGATGTTCTTTGATTTTGAATCTCCAAGGAACAAATCGAAATAATATAACTAACACTCATGCTTATTGTTATATCTTCCGCCTTCAACGTACTATTTCGGAGCGATGAATCTTTGCAATTAACCAGTAAAGGTTATATCCCTACAATAATTCACTGACGCAGCGGTTGATAAATAAGACAGTTCAAATAATAATAAGTCAGTTATTAAATTATTATATTGTTTTGATTTATTATTAAATGATTACTAGACTAGTAAAATGGGTCTATCGTTAAAGCAGAGGTTGTTATCCGTGGTTTCAAGAATTAAAAAAAGGGGTAGCAAACCTTTCTTATGTTAAATAATGAAGATAACTGGTGGTGCGGATCTAGAAATATTTTATAGAGTTTGCATATATGAGCTAGCAACACAAATTTTGAAAGGGGAGGCACAACTAAAATTTTAGGATAGATATAAATAAAATTTCATAATACACGCTATCGATAAAATAAAAAACTAACGGAAAAAATTCAAATTCGAGGCCCTCAGTTGTATATGTGGCTCCGACACTGAAGACCACTAATTTCTATTGAATAGTGAATGCATTTTAGAGAGTAAAAAGAATACTGGAAACAGCTACGCTACTCTGTACTTTACATTGAATAATATTTAATCTTTGTGTCCCGGCGTGTAATAGATTTCCCCTGTAATTATATGGAATTCGTATCATTGTATAGATCATTGACTTGATCCTGCTCCCTTCCTCAGCGATTGTGTATATAATTATGACATATTATTATTATTATTAAAATAAAAACTAATCGTTTAGATTATATAAATATTAAAGAAAGATAATGTTAAAAAATTTAATTAAAAAACTCGAATTAAATAAATATACAAATAAATCTGATTGCATCGGTAAATAAATCATAAAAGGGAATGAAACTACTGAAAGACCACTGATAAATCGTAAATCAGAGTTAATCGACGTGAGAAAACTATACACGAATACAAAACGCGTATCCAAATCAATATGAGAGTCCAAAGCAGGGCATATCATCATGATAACAAATAAGCGTAATCTTTATCAGTCGTGATAATGTCAAATCAAACCCTGAGAAAATAAATAAACAAAAACAACAGCAAAAAAGGGTAAACAACGGCAAAAAACTGGAAGCTACCAAAAGTCAAAGATAAATGTGTCATAAAAACAGAGAAAAAAAAACAAAGAAGAAAAAGATAACTGGCGGGTGGCAACTAGCATTAAAACATGTGTCGTCGTTAGTTAAAATAAATTAAAGAAGAAAAAGTTAGATTGATTAATAAAATTAACACATATTATAAAGAATAAAAAGAAAGAAAATTAGAGGAGAAGAAATAAAGCTGCTAGAGTTTTGATATAATATTTTTTCTGTTTAGGTCGAGTATAAAATTTAGTGTTCCAGATTCTAGATCCTGTCCTCCCATGAATTTTAAAAGTTAAATTTGGATTTCATTTAAATTTAATATCTAGAGTTGATCTAATATTTCGACAAATAATTCAATTATGATGCATAATATTTAATACCATAACAACATTTTTTTAAATTAATATCACGTCTATCAATGCCACATTCCACAATCTAATTTGATTATTGAAATGCCATTGTAGTTAGTGGAGTACTGA